GGGCTGTTGAGGTGTTTTGCCCTTCTGTCAAGAGCTACCTAACCACCAATAAACTCCCCTTAAAGGCTCTTCTCCTCATGGATAATGCTCCTGGTCATGACCCTCAACTTGCCAGCACTTTGGAGTCTCAATTTGACTTTGTCAAAGTGTTGTTTTTGCCTACCAACACTACATCAATCATACAGCCAATGGACCAGAATGTGATCAGCAACTTCAAGAAGCTGTACATGAAGAAAATGTTCAGGAGGTATCATCAGGCAACTTCCACTGATCCTGAGCTAACACTGGCACAGTTCTGGAAGACACAATTTAACATCATGGAGGATGTAAAATTGATTGTGTTCTCATGGCAAGAAGTCTCCACTAGATCCCTCAATTCTGCATGGAAAGCACTGTGGCCATCAGTAGTCCATGATTTTGAGGGATTTGAGGAAGAAGCAGAGTTGGACCAGGAGATTGTGTTCATTGGTCAGTCATTGGGCCTTGAAGTGGAGGAGGATGATGTAGAAGAGCTTGAGATGTCTCATGAGCAGGAACTTACTCCTGAAGACTTGCAGCAACTGGATGAGATGTTAGAGGCTGACAGTGGTGAGGTGGAAAAGGAGTGATGACCATATGTCTACTTCAGATTTGAAAGATGTTGTTCACTACTGGGAGAAGTTCAGGAAACTGGCTTCAAGGCACCCTAATGTGGAAAAAGCAGAACTTGCTTGTGTAATGTTGAGGACACAGTGGTCTCCTTCAAACATCAGTGATTGATGAGGAGGAGACATGCCCCACAAACAAAAATTTACAGTTTCTTCACTAAAAGGCAGCGGGAAAAAGATGCTAGCCCTCAGCCTTCCACTTCAAGAAGGAGAGAGGATGTTCCTGCTGGAGAATCGGTCAGTGGAAGGTGACTCACCTTCCAAGAAGCAGTAAAATGCTTCTCCTCCACCTCCACTTCCTTCTCTTCTCCCTTCTCCTCCCACTTCAAATTCACATCAGCATCATCATCCAGGAGCCTTCTACATACATACCTCAAAGTAAGTGTACTTTACTACTTTTTTTGTTGACTTTATGCAATTTTCAGTGAGCTGGAACCAATTACCCAAAAACCCATTGAAACAATGGTTTCGGTAAATGAATTTTTCGATTAACGAGCAACCTTCTGGAACGAATTGTGCTCGTTAACCGACTGTGTAAAACTTTCTCACAACTCTATGAAATGAGTGGAAAATGCCCAGCAAGAGATATTTGTGCCTCTGGTAAGATAAACCAAGGAAAAGTACAGGTACACCACCGATTTTCCGGTACCCTTGGTTCCAAAGCCTTGCATGACCAACCGAGGTTAGGTAATAATAATTCAATACACCTGACCCACTAATTATACACCTCCTGTGTCTCTAAAGCACCATGGACTGCTAGAAACTTAAATTAAACAAATATTAAATGTAAATTAAATGTGAAAAGGCCATAATTTTGAGCAGCATTACTGTACACACTTTGTACTTTTGTGCAAACTATGTGATCTTTATAATCAAATTAATCACTATCTTACAAGGATTCCAGCAATGCTATTTATATTCTGCTAAGTCAAGTCAGCTACATTTCATAAGATAAAAACTTTAAGCCTAAAACTAGCTTCACCCTGGCTGGGAGGGAGGGAGGGACGTTAAGTGCCCTTGTAATAGCCCCTGTCTTATAGGCAGAAGTATTATATAAATGGGTTAATTACATTTGATTTATATACAGTGGTCCCTCGGTTAACGAAATTTCGGTTGACGAATTACCTTCCATAAGAATATTCAATTTGGTTAACGAACAAAAATTCAGTTAACGAAATTCTTACGAAAACATGTCAATATGTTTTCGCTTGCTCATCAGCTGGTAGATTAGTCCGCCAATACAGTAATCGGTTCTAGGGCTTAAATTCGTTCCCATTTGAGTAAATATCAGGAAGGTTGTGCTATTAAATATTTTTTCCAAGTTTTATAATAAAATTATTAGTCATTTTAACACTTATTTAACATAATTGCAGTACAGGGAACTAGTTTTTGGTGTGCCCATCAGCCACTTCACTCACCCACCAAGGCGTCTGTTTGTGTGTCTGTTCAGTGGAGGTAACATCTTGCTTGTGGCTCTCTTAAACATAAACTAATTTTACATTTTTACAGTGCAATTATAGGTCATTCTGAACTTTATTTAACATATTGACAATATATAGTGCAGTGCAGTGTTGATTTAAAGAAAATAATCTTGAATTATACCTAGTGAACTTAAATTTTATTGGTGAAATGACAGCATCAAGCATGGGGTGATTTCTCTTCCATCCCCACTTCCTTCTCTTCTCTCTTCTCCTCTTCCACCTCCCACTTCAAATTCACATCAGTATCATCAACCAGGAGCCTTCTACATACACACCTCAAAGTAAGTGTACTTTATTGCATTTTTTTTTTACTTTGTATGTAATTTTTGGTGAGCTGGAACCAATTACCCAAAATCCCATTGAAACAATGGTTTCGGTTAATGAACAACCCTCTGGAACGAATTGAGTTCGTTAACCGAGGGACCACTGTACTCTATAACCCCCTGTAAATTTCCACTGGCTATGAGGTAGCATGTTCAGAGCACGTGATAAGGTGCGCCCACGGGATGTAGTGTCACTTAGTGTTGAGCTAAGGCATTAAGTAGCCGGCTCTCTGGCCACCTCTTGCGGCAGTAGTTTGATATCCTTGACTAGAGGAAGACGTTATTGAGAGCCATCGTGCATGGTTCCGTCTTCCCTCGAGGGAGGACGACGTACATATTTCCGTTCTCCCTCGATGGGTTCCTACTCATGGGCATTGTCACTCAACCCCTCACACCAACCGGACGTATTTAGCAGAGCTATTTAACAGAGCCTCCGTCCTCCTCTTAACACTCATGGCTACAGTGATAAGTTACGGTGATATACACTTGGAACTGTATCTGAGATAGTGCCTCAATAAATAGATAACAGACAATTGGGTTTGGCTACTAAAACCCGACATAATATACAAGTTCCAGCCTCATTAACCCAGACGGAATCAACGGTTAAAGGACCTAGAACACCCTCTTGTAATTTTGCCCGGACTAAAGGAGATGCCAGACCATTAGTTCCAGGATAATCGGTGGTATACCTGTATCTCTCGAGAGGTCAACTTAGTTTTAAGGCCTTTTGATGATGGAGAACAAACTGTTAATATCTCCAGGCGTGCTTGGCCTACCCGCTACATCTGTGTGAAATGTGATGAAATTCAAGAAAATACCCAGTATGACACTTTTAACTGCTACAGTATTAAAATAATTTGTAGCATAAGTGGAGTCATGGAGGACATAGAAAGATATTTAAACATTTGGATGTAACATGACATCATGTGCCAATTAGCATGATGATGATGATGACAGTATTCATAAAAAAGCTGAGAGTTTGTTTGAAGACTTAAACATAGTGGTGAAAGTTCAGTCATGGAAATCTTTGTGGTTGGTAGTGTTTGGTCTGAACCTTTTAAAAAAGGTAGCAACTGCACAGAATTAAAGTGACTGGTGAAGCTGTGATGACACAATTGGCTTGATATTATTCGCAAATTTTGAAAGCATTAATTGAAGGCAGCGGCGAGGCACCTCAACAGGTGTTTAACGTGGATGAGAGAGTGCTTTCCAGGCAGCTAGAACCTTCATAACAATGCAAGAGAAGATCAAGCCAGGTCTCAAAGCAGTCAAATGTTGTCTAAATCTTTTGTTGATGGGAATGCTTCAAGGGAATTTAAGACTTAAGCCCCTACTGATGTACTCCTAAAGACACACCAAGGACTATGAAGTGCTATTCAAAACAATATCTCACTGTTATTTGACATATAAACAAAAAACCTGGATAACAAAGGTACTTTTTTCAAGAATGGTTTAGTTTGCATTTCTGCTCTGTTGTGATGGAAATTGTGCCAAAAACAATCTGGAACACAAAGCATTCCTTAACCTGGACAATGTTCCAGGACATTCTGTCAACCTTGATGACTCATCTGAACATGTTCAGGTAATTTTTATGGCACCCAATATGGCTTACATGTCACAACCTATGGATCAAGGTCTTATTATTTATGTTGTACCTTCTCCCAGTTCATTAAGGAAACAGACGTGAAAGTAAGTCAATAACTAGGTATTTCTGGTATGGCTATAAAATTAATAAAGTAAATGCACAAATTTCTTTTGACCTCTAAAACCCTCACTCAAAATTCTCAAACCAAATACAGTTCCTTTGCCCTTTCTAAATCCATTTTGATCTTGAGATAACTGACTGTCTATTCAAAATTGTATTCTACTTAAAATTATGTTTACTATATTTTGCTGGCATGACTTATTCAGCTAATTGTTCTAAAGTGGGTGCAATCTAAGGCTCCTGGTTTTTAGGTAATAATCCATTTTTTTTAATCACTGGGAACCATCAACAAATGTTCCACCATCATCCAATGTGACAACAAAAGCATCTGGCAAACATTACTTCAAATTTTTGGTTTAATCTGACCAAAGTGGGACTGCCCACCATGTGTTGATCAGTCTCTTGTCAAACAGAACTGTCTGGCCACTCAAAGGAAGAGACAAGAAAACAGATAAATTCATTAAGCTCAATACTCACCCCAACACAAGAGGAAAAAGAAAGAAAAAAGGGAAACAAATCTGACAAAGCCTAATGGCAAATCAGTGTCTATAGATAACACTAATGCCATATCAGAGTAAATTCCCCTTCCCAGCTTTTCTTACTGTCATGGAGATTAAAGGATGCACCAGGTAAGCCCCTCTGACTCAAGGGGTTAAAGGTCCAAGGAATCCTGGGATGTCAACTGCAGATTTGTTGAAGCAGCACACGTGTTACAAAAATATACAAAAGTATCAGTGACCAAGATGGTGGAAGATGTTCATGCTCTGAGGCTCCTGAAGAAGAATCAATTAATATGGATTGTGTTCTAAAGAAATATTAACAAACAGTACTTTTAAAAGGGAACATTTTCTCTTACCATTTTCTCAAGGTATGAAATCATTTGACTAATAGACTTCCCAAGGTGTTTTCTGGGTTCAAGGCCAATAGCTGCTACTTTGATGATTATGGCATCCAGCCCACATTCCACCATTTCTCGCAGGAGTTCAGACTGATCACGCCGCCACATGAATGCCAAGCAAACTAACCCCAGTCTACTGCACCTGTAGTCAAACAGGAAAAACTTTTAAAAAAATTATCAATACTTAATTTCCTAAAACTACAACAGTACAGTACAATACAGTACTCAAAACAAAACAGTACCCCGTAGTGCATAACTCACAGAAACAGAACTAATAAGATAAATACAGTTGAGCACTATTCAATCATGTATGTCTGCACAGTCACATTTGCAATATATATATACAGTATATACTGTATTCTTAATAATATTATAACTGTTGTAATTTACATTGTCTTTTGTGGTCACCATACTCTGTAAGTACATATCTATTAACTTTTTGTTGTGTTGTTAAGAGAAATTGTCCACTGGTCGACCCTTCCACTACAGTTTACGAGTATACATTATGGGGCTGCAGCCCTGTGTCCTGTATTTCCTACTGAAATACTGTACATAGAACAATAAAAAAAATTAATTCAGGTTGTACCTCTCTAGTCCGGCATTCTGTGGTCCGGAAACTCCCGTGGTTCAGAACGATTTTAGTTTGTCCAATAGGTAGATAGGCAGCTTTTGTTTAGTTTTGTTTTGTTGTTGTTTTTTTATACTTATCTGCATTATTATTACAGGAGTATTAAATTTTTGCCCCTCAGGCCCCAATGTGGGTCAGTGACCTATGCCCGGGTGGGCTAATCCCCGTAAAAAAACAACAACAAAGCCCCGGGAAATTAAGGTTTGTTTACATCCGGCAGTTCGGCTGCTCTCTCTCTCTCTCTGCTTGTCTATACAGAGTACAACATTTAACCCTTCAATATATATGAGCAGTAAATAAGTGTCGGTTTCATATTCTTATGTAGAGTAATGATGATATGTTTTCATATGTGCGCACTTACATACGCGCAGTCTCACTTTTTTTTTTCTTTACCATTAATGGTTAGCTACTTATATTGTTCCATTCATTACATGAAATAACATTACTGTACTTCAAACAAGCATACCTGTATTAATTTTTTTACATTAATTTTACTACAGCTACAATCAGGGTCTTATTTTCTTCAGTTTTGTATGTAGAACCAATCAGTCACTGGTTTTGTAAGTATTAACAAAAACAATGCCGGCAGCCGTCTCGTCTCGTCTCCTCGTGTTAATATTCCACGTATTATTAATGAGCTGTATTGTTCATTTTGAACACACAAACATTAATTCAATAAAAAAAATTCAGAAACATTAATTAAAATATATATGAACGGTAAATTAGTGTTGCTTTCATATTCTTCTATAGAGTAATGACGATATGTTTTCACGTGTGCGCACTTACATACGTGATCTCTCTTTTTTTCTTTACCATTATCGTTAGCTACTTCTATTGTTCCATTTATTAACATTAAATAACATAACTTAAAACAACCATATTAATTTTACTACAGCTACAACCAGGGTCTTATTTTCTTCAGTTTTATATGTAGAACCAGTCAGTCACTGATTTTGTAATCAACGAAAACAATGCAGTCTCATTTCCTTGTGCGTTTTAATATTCTATGTATTATTAATAAATTGTATTGCCCATTGTGCACACATAAACATTAATTCAATCAAAAAGACATTCAGTAATAAACAATAATGAATCTATTGTACATAAGAGAAATGACGCTGTTTACATGATTGTGCACATCGTCTGAACGTTGGTGGGCCGTTCAAACAAAATTCGAGTTTCCGCCGCAAAAATTTTAAATTGTTTTGTTTTTTTGTTCAAATAAAAAAAGTCGAATTAAAAACTCGCAAAATTTGAGAAGCTACTGTACGACATTTAACCCTTCAATATGTCTTCAAAGACACCATGAAGCAGAGAAAGTGGTGCTAGTGCTTCCAAGCATAAGCACAAGTCATTATCTATCCAGAAAAAGGGTGATTTTCCATGGTCCGGCACCGGTCAGGTTCCGAGGTTGCCGGACTAGAGAGGTACAACCTGTATTGTGTGACAATTTTCAGGCACCTTTTACATTATATCACAGGTTTATTAATTAGATAATAATATATTTCATTTATTCTAGGCTGGAAGCATTATTGTGAAGGTTTTTTAATGGGCCACATTATGAACCTAATTATTTTTATAAGCTCTGAGGTTATCATGTCACAGAGGCCAGTACTGTACTCAAAATATGTCTCTTCAGATGTGTTAGAACATAAAAATGATCTGGATACACCATACAAGTCTAACGACCTTCATCCAGTAACAACCTAAGGTAACCTAAGAAGGTAAGTTTCATATCTGCAACATGCACTATTCCACAGTTTGAAGTATGACAACTATACAGATGAATAATATATGCCTGTGTTTACATTACAGTATTTATAATTCAAAATATCACAATACATTAGGTACAGTACATGCCAAGTCATCATTCAAGAACTTACACATTTTCTACTCGAACTCTCTGGTAATCAGATAGTACAGCCCCTACACTCACAGCATCCACACAGCATTTCTCCTGCAAAAAAAAAAAAAAATTATATGTTGTGTATGCAGCTCAGGGACTTGGATAAAGCACATGATAAAAGTAAATAAGAGAATCTTGTGGAAGAGGTGACCATGTATGGACACATGGATGTTAACGTTTATGATGGTTTGAAGTAAGAGAAGCTATACATCAGGCGTGTGTGACGTGATGGTTCAATACATGAAATGCTAGCACGTTAGGGTGAGTGGAAAGGAACTGAGACACGACTACAGAGTACACTGTGACATTTAATGTATATGAACAAAGCTGTATTGCTGAGAGATGGAGAGAATAAAAGTATATTTTAATGAAGCTTGCAGGAGAAAAATGTTTAAGGTAAATACTGGAAAGAGCTAAATGCACTAATGCCTTGCCTTGAAAAAAATAAAAGATTTCTCAGTGAAATGTCATTATTAATGAAGAAAGGCTAGAGACTAAATGAAATCAAGTGTTTGGGAGCGGTGTTCAACACGGAGAGGTGGAAAAGCTGCATCTATAGCCCTCAACAGGGTACAGTACTTGGGACCAAAAGATTTTCCCTTATGGACAACGAGGGAGGAGGTGCGGCAGACATGTGCCATCACAGAAGCAGTGTGCATCCCTTTCTTTTGGATTGGCCTGGTCTTCCAGGCTTTAAACCCCTTCATTTACAGCAGACTTCCAAACCAACCCATGGGAGGAGGAAGGGTTTCTGAGCCAACTGTTTCTAGGTTTAGCAATCAAATTAAATTTATGGATCAATCCTGTATTCATGGCTAGCTACCCTTCATTAAATGACTTAAATATCTGATGCCAGTTAAAAATGACAGAAAATAGTGCAGCATTGTTTTCCAATTGCTAATGTGACATAGTACTCCAAAGGGAATTGAACAATATTTACAAACAATATACTTGTATAATAGTAGACAAGGAAAGTAACCTTACAACCTTCCCAAAGCCACACTGTCTCTTGGTGTTGTTTCCTTATCCAAATACTGTAATTGTCAAGGAGCTGAGAACTGAGGCCTCCTTACAGTGCAGAACTAATTGGGCATACCATTAAGAAAAGCCATAAAAGATACAAGCTTTAGCTGTGTAGTCTTGCTGAGTTAATGTGATAACTTTGACAGTCACATTAGACATATAAGTCTTGAAAGTTCCACATTTAGTGTTAGGATTTAAAAATATTGTTTGCAGAAGAAACTGTTCATGAATTTAGGATAGAAATACACAGCCCAGGCAGGACATAAGAACAATCAGAATTATCTTTCAATTTCCAGAGTGAGCCTTGAATACACACTAAAGATAAATACAGCACCATTAAGTCTATTGAAAACTCCAAACAAAATCTCTTAACATTGAAGAAATTGAAAAGGTTTCCAGTCTCTCTATCTCAACAAATTCCTGAAAACATCTCCAAGATAATATATACTGTTTATTGCTTAATTCCATAGTCCAAATGAAAAAACTGTCTATAGATCTATCATACTTTCCTGAGAACTCTGCAGAAACCAGCACCATATTTCCAGGGTTGAAGCTGGAAAAGACAGAGAGCCCAGAGAAAGGAGAGAAAAGAATACTCTCCTCCTGACCATCACTCACTAACCCAGCTGTACCAGCAGGTTCCTCTAAGCATCCATTATATAAGAAAGAATTAAGACAGGAGTTCCATTTCCCAATGCTCTCTCCAAGAGCAACTGGCTGTACAGTACAGTACATTGCAGGTTTGCACAACAACAAGCACTTGTCAGAAAAAAGACCATAATGTTCTGCATTCATTTCATTTGAGTGAAACTCACAACAAAACCTCGTTTGGAAAAACACTTCCTTACTCAGCACTCTTTCCCTTTACTGCTGACTCTGACATCCTTTGGGGAAACACCTTCCCCTACAACCCTCTCCTCCTGCTCTCAGTGTCCCCACAAAAGATAGGACAGAGTATGTTTAGATTCATGAGCAACATAGCCCACCTTCAAAGAGGATGAATTACCTGCACCCTTTTCAAAGTAAGAGATAATTCCTTAACTTAGCCAATTGTTTCTTGTCCAACACCGTGATACAGAAGTGATCCGAATATTACAACACTTCCATTGAGAACCCCTTAGGGTAATACACACTACTAACCACTTCCTTCCTCATGGCCACGATGGTTCTACTGATCTTTATCCATCAAATGGATCACATGATCTCACATCAATCTCAAAAGATCACCTTCTGAGGAGGATTGGTCCAGCATACGGTTTGCCAAGCCCAAAAGCTGATGCAAAAACAAATAAGAGAATATTGTATTCAGGAGAAGTGAGTTTTTCTCATTGAAAATTCAGAAGATCCATCTGATCTGGATATGTTGTATTTTGCTAACCCCTGGGCATGATATTACCCATAAAAGCCGTGTCTCGGAGACAAACAATCACATGTGAGGAAGAATCATTCATATTAAAGTCACAAATTTTTGTTTCAATGAGAAGAAATCTTAGTTGAAAAATCCAAGGTCCCTAACTACATCTACAAAAATGGAGGATTGATCCTGAAATCCCATTTAATTACCGAATTGGGAGTGAGCAACTCTGTATAACAAAGAACATCACATATCAAAATTTTATACTGTACTTCAGTCCTGATTACAAGCGGAATCTAAAACCTTAATAAATTTAAAGTCACAAATTCTTGTTACAATGCTGTCAACCACAGCACTCCAATTACTGTACAGTGAGTCACAATTATTCACGAAATATAAATCCGTGTTCTTAAATTCGCAGCTACTGTACCTCTATTACTACCTATTTTTTTTTAGGTCTGATATTCTTAATTCATGGTTGAGTGCTGATTACCGCAGTGTTTATTTACATATGAAACCATAAAAGTTGTGGATATCTCATTTTATTACTCTAATTTGACTTACAAATAAAGAAAATGTAATATATTACATTATAAACTAGGAAAAATGTGTAGTGGGAAGTGAACTGTTTGTGGGAGGCAGAGCGGTTGGCTGATGGACTGAGCTTCCCTTCATTCCCGAGTGCTAGACGACCCTCTGCCTCCAACCTCATTAATACAACATTATGCAGTTTCACCATAATTCCCTTGTCATTTAGGTTCATTTGGTACAGTACCGGGTTAATAAGACATTATCGTAAAATAAAAAATTTTCACCCCCAAAAAAAAAAAAAATCCCACTCAATTATGAGAAGGGAAGGAGCAGCTTATGTAATACAGGCAGTCCCCGAGTAACAAGTGACCGACTGACGAACACAAACACTTACGAACAGAATCCCAATACTGTATATTCATCAAAAAAATCTGTAACTAGAATCCCATTTTTAATATTACTTGCATTATTCCATATTGTTTAACACCACTTTATTTAAAGCATTTCCATAATTTTTTTTCTTTTCTTTTTACGGGATTAACCCATCAGGACCTGGGGGCAAAATTATAATAATAATAAATGATGATAATGATGATGATGATGATGATGATGATGATGATGATGATGATAATAATAATAATAATAATAATAATAATAATAATAATAATAAAAATTAATACATAAATATGATTTTTTTTAAATACAGGTATAATAATAATAATAACAACAACAATAATAATAATAATAATAATAATAATAATAATAATAATAATAATAATACTGAAATAATAATAATAATAATAATAATAATAATAATAATAAAGGACCATAAATAAAAAAAAAAAAAATTAAAAGTGAGAAACGATATACAGGATGTATGTTGTGTTGTCAGTAATAGAGAAACAATTGAGACCCTGCAATTGTGTGTAAATGAGGCAGAAAGTCAGATCACCAACCTGGGACTTGGTCACATATGGCAGCAGGGTCTACCATTAGATAACACATTATGCTTCCAATATCTCCCAGGCGGTAGTACCTCCCTGTTTTTGTATAATATATTATTATTGTTTTGTATAGGCAGCATTGTGCTTTAACTGACCCTAAACTATGGAATTAACACTGCTCCTAACTTACACATAAATCGACTTACAAACAGGGTCCAGGAACATAATCCGTTCACAACTCGGGAACTGACTGTATTACTCCTTGTTGTACAACATCTATATGTTACTGTACAGTATTTGTTGCTGTTATGTATGATGCTTAGTGTTTGTTAAAGCAGTCTTGAAAAGTTTATAGGTACAGTATTTCTTGACTTCTGGAACCAAACTATTTATTTCCATTTAAAACAATTAAACTATAATCTAAGATTTGATAATTCACGATGTCTTCTGATACTTAACCCACAAATTATCGAGACTCCAATGTGGTTCATTCATCTAATGACTAGAATCAGCTCACCTTGGAAGGAGGAATGCTGAGTTGCTGGATTTTAACTGCTACAAAATAGAATTCAGGAAAGATCCTCCATTTATAACCTTACATCAAGGGTCAAAATGTCTATATAGCTACTAACTAAAGCCAACTAAAAGGTAGGGTGGAGGTATCAGTGCGCTCCTAATGCAATACTCAACCTGAAGCTGCCAATGGGATCAATCCTACTAAAACTAACTACTGTACCATAAATTGGTTCTAGAATAAAACATAAAGAAACAAACCTCAAGCTCCCCATAGCCAAGCTGTCCTGAGGTGATGCCCTAGTTATTATTAAGTAACTGCTACTCAGATCTTCTCTGAAGGATGGACTTACTCAAGCTGCCATCTTGAACAGAGTCCTTAAGGTCTTGCATCCTCTGAATGCAATCAGGTATAAAGTTTGAATTATTACCCAACTATTAATGAAGTCTTCCATTCCCTACACCGCTATTGCCTCATATACACATAAAAAAAAAAATATTACATTCCAATGCAGTACATGGTCTTCTGAAGTCCCAAATATGCTATCTAAGAATTAGGGACAAGGGCATACAACCTCCTCTTCTCCCCCTCTCTGTCTCACTGACACAGACACAGAAACACGAACACACACACCCAGAAGCAAAGTAGTTTATTTTATAAAAATAAATACGGCTGTGTACTGGAA